ATAGCTGTGTGACCTTAGGCTAATCACTTTTCTGTTGTGGACCTCAGCTTCCTCAACTGTTAAAATGAGGAGGTTGATTTAGATCTAAACTTATGGTTGAATACACATAAATATGAAAGAAGAAAGGAGGGGGCAGGCAGGGGTGCTGAAATAAACCATCTTCGAATCATAAAGCTTTAGAATTAGAAAGAACCCAAAAAGTCAACAAATTCATCCTATCCTTTTAGAGGTGGAACAGAGGCCTAAAGAGGTCAAATGTGTGGCACGTGCATTGATTGAAATGTCTGAGGAAACACAGGTTTGAGTTTCTGAATGTATGATTTTATTGGCAGTGTATGCAGTTGCATAACAAATCTGGACCCTGACAACAAAAGGAAACACATTTTTATGCATTGAAAGAAAACAATCAGTAGCATATCAATAAGGATAAAATATTAAGTAATCTGATTTCTAATTATAGGAAGGATTAGGAACTTTCCAAGTTAGGAGGAGAAGAGCAAACAGATATAATTATCTGAAATCAGAAAAAATGGTATCCCACTTCCCCCGACAAGTACCTGTATTCAATCAAAGGAACAAGGACACAGTAACTGGTTGACCAGTATGGGACTAGTTTTCAGTTTTCAGTTAAAGACATGTGGGTTGCTTGAGATTTATAATTGTGAGCAAACTTCTTACATCAATCTTAGGAGAGGTAGTTTAGTTTCCCAGGCAAAAAGGGCTGGATTCAAATGATGCACTAAAATTTTCTCACAATTCCCATAGCTGAATAGTTTTCTTACAAGGCAGACTTTAGACTAGACCAATAATTGAATAGAAAGGAAACTGAGCTAGATCCAGAAATAATTCCCAAGATGGAGTCAGTGTGGTTCACTTAATTCCTACAGTCCCCACAAGGACTGAAAGCAACATACTTTCAACTTCAAAATGAGTATTCTAAGGTATTATGTTATCTCATCATTCTATAAAAAATGGACTAACTGGATGGACAAGGTAACAGCTAGTGCTGGGATGGTATTGTGTGGTTTGTTTGAAGTGCATCATCAACATTATTGAGAAAGGACATGGGTTGGTGCTATATTCTGCAAAGCAGGCTTTTTAAAATATTTTTTTAAATTTTTAAATTTTAAAAATTTTTTATTAATTTATTTTGATTTATCAACAATCACTTCCATATGCTTTTGAGTTTAAAATTTTTCTCCCCTTTCTTCCCCACCACCCTCCCCAAGATGGCAAATAATCTGATATATGTTATACATTTACATTCCTATTAAACATATTTTCACATTAGTGAAGTTGTAAGTACAAATTCTCACTAGTGTTTTGCTTTTGACCACCAGCTCCCTCAGTCCCTCCCTCCCTTTCCCTTTTCTTCCCCTATAGCCTTACTGCTTTTCCCTCCCTTCTATTCCCCCCTCCCTTTTCTTTCCCCTTTCCTCTCCTACTGCCTATAGGGCAAGTTAGATTTCTATACCTAACTTATTATGCTATTCCCTTCTTGAGCCAAATCTGATGAGAGTAAGTTTCAAACAATGTTCACCCCCTTCCCTTCTTTCCCTCTGCTGTAATAGGATTTTCTGTCTTTTCCTGTAATGTAATTTACCCTTGTCTGCCTCCTCCTTTCTCAGTACATTTTCTAAGATCAGACTAAACTACTTACTTGGATCCATTCAACCCACTTGATTAGATTTTTTTTTATCATTACATTAAAGTCAACTAATATCCACCCCCTTTATGTGTACTCCTTTAACATGGTGTAATAACAACACAGTTCTCAAGAGATGCAAGTATCATCTTCCCTTGCAGGGATGTAAACAGTCCACCCTTACTAACAACATATTGTATCTTTCTGTCCCATTTACATTTTCATGTCTTTCTTGAATCTTGTACTTGAAGATCAAATTTTTTTGTTGAGCTCTGGTCTTTTTATCAGGAAGGTTTGGAAGTCCCCTATTTCATTGAATATCCATCTCCTCCCTTGAAAAATCATGCTCATTTTTGCAGGGTAGTTGATCCTTGGCTGTAATCCAAGCTCCTTTGACCTATGGAATATCATGTTCCACTCCCTTTGGTCTTTTAATGTAGAAGCTGCAAGGTCCTATGTAATCCTGACTGTGGTTCCATGATATTTAAATTGTTTCTTTCTGGCTGCTTGCAGCACCTTCTCTTTCATCTGGTAATTTTGGAATTTTGCTATTATATTCCTTGGCATTGTCAATTTGGGATCTCTTTCAGGTGGTGATCGGTGGATTCTTTCTATAGTTATTTTCCCTTCTGGTTCTAGGACTACTGGGCAGTTTTCCTTTATGATTTCCTGAAAGATACTGTCCAGGCTCTTTTTTTTCATCATAATTTTCAGGTAGTCCAATAATTTTTATATTGTCTCTCCTGGATCGATTTTCTAGGTTGGTTGTTTTACCAATGAGGTATTTTATGTTTTCATCTATTTTTTCTTTTTTTTTTGTTTCTGTTTGACTGATTCTTGCTCTCTTATAGAGTCACTGGTTTTCATTTGTCCAATTCTAGTTTTTGACAGATTGTTTTCTTCTGTTAGTTTTTGTACTTCCTTTTCCAATTGGATAATTGTATTTTTATGGGATTTGTTTTCTTCCATGTACTTTTTTTTCCAGTTTGCCAATTGTGTGTTTTAGGGACTTGTTTTCTTCAGTACACTTTTTTTTTCCAAATGGCCAATTGTACTTTTTAAGGACTCTTCTACTTCTCTCATTAGACTTTCAAAATCCTTCTTGAGCTCTTCTAAGAAGGCTTTTTGGGCTTCAGACCAGTTCATATTCCCTTTGGATGTTGCAGATGTGGGTTTGTTGACAATGTTGATCTCTTCAGAATTTCTATCTTGATCTTCACTCTTCTCATAATATGAATCTATGCTATGTTTATTTTTACTCATGGTGTTTCTTTATTCCCTGGCCTTTAAAGAGATTGAGCTCTCCTGCTGGGGAACAGAGGGCACTGACCCAAGCTTCTTGTGTTGGGAGCCTAGGTCTTAGTCACTGTCTTTGTGTGCTGGGGCCTCTTATGTTGGCAATTGGAGGCTATAGTTCTGGCAGCTTACCTCGTGTTGTGTTGGAATCAGCAAGGCTGGAACTTTCAGGCAATTCTAGGTTGCCTGCTTTTCCTTTCCTTTAGCTTTCTTCAGCTCTTTTTAGATGGGTGCTGCAGGATGTTTATCTGCCTGGGGCCCCTTGCAGTGCTGTCTCCCTCATTTCTGCTCCAAAGCAGGCTTAATAAGGAATGGTACCTACCCCCAAGAAACTGGCTTGGACGTTCTTACCTCAGAAAACTAGGCAATCTATTACAAAATGATGAGCAAGCCATCCATAAATGTCTGAATCAGTCAACTAACATAGATGATGTGTGAAGAAGTCCTTGATCATCTGAAGAAATATACAGGAAGAATGTTTGGATTATCTGAGGAAATTTGATCAGTTTCCATGAGTTGTCTATAAAATAGCAAACCAATACAAAAGTGAGGGATAGAGACTCCAGATTGAGAGAGACTTCAGGGAATGACAGTGGAGAGGGAGCAATGAGGATATACAGAAATGAGCTGGAAAGAAGTCACAATTCAGGGACAACAAGCAAAAGGAGAAAAGGAAAGAAAACTGAGCTGCAGTAGAGAAGGGGGATATAGAGAAAGGTCACTGGCTGCAGGGCAGAAGATAGGTTGATGCCACAAGTTACATCTACCTCCTAAGGAAGTGAGAGGGGTTCCCAGAAAACGTCTAACCTATCGCCAACTTCCCATGCCAGTATCTGTATATTAAAAGATACATTAATATTCTATATTACTCCTTTGGCCTCCTGTTTCCAAAAATGAATTTTCCTTAACCGCAAAGTGGCCAGGGGTTGACCAGAGATAGACATAATATAAATTAAGGCAAACGGCCAAACATCTGTCTAAAAGTTAGGGGTTTTCCTAACTAAGGGCTCAGAGCAATTGTTGTTATACTCCTAATTTTTTATCTAATTCAGCAGAAGAGGGAACCATGTGGAACTGAGTGTCCATTATATTGCTTCTAAGTCTTCACATGAACTAATTATTGCAACAGGATGTTATATTTGTTGTTGTTGTTGTTATTATTATTATTATTATTATTATTACTATTACTATTTTTATATTATTATTAGTATTCCTTCCAATAATGGAGGTTGTGACTTAACCACATCGTCTCATACTTTTAGACACAGGAGAAATCACCCAGTGTGATGATTTGAATCCTTTCTGTTCCCTCATCTTGCATGGAGATGAACTTGGGTTTTTAGCTGTGGAGCACAAACTTGGGCAGCTTCTAGCAAACTAGTAAGATTTAGAAAATGGTCTCAGTAACTGCTGAGTAAGTTAAGTATGAGAGGCTCATTCACTAGCAATGATGAATTCTTTGGCCCGAGTAATTATCTTGTGCTGCAATTTGCAAAAACACCATTCAACTCTTCTGGAATTTTTGAATGTAGCAGAGTAAGATAGACAAGTTAAGTAGGGAGGAGAAACTAGGGTTATCACAAAAGGCAAATGAAGTAGAAAAGCACTTCTCCCCAAACTTGCATAAATGCCTATGGCAAAAAAAAAAAAATGAAGGGAAAGGTGTAAGTGAAAGCCTCCCATTTTAAAATGCATGCCTGGGCTAGATGATTCATTGTTAAGAAAGGAGGCTATACAGTAAAGAAAGATTTTATATTATGGCACATAAACTCAGAAAGATATAGGAACCTTGCAGGATTGTTGTGAGGATCAAGTAAGATAATGTATGTGAAAGCTTTTGAAAAATTATAAAGCATTCTATAAATGCAAGTTATTATTATTATTTCAGCACTTGCATGGTTAGAAGTTGTATTTGATTTTGGAAAGACAAGGCAGGAAAATTCGGTAAGGGGAGGGGAGAGACAGAATGAATTAATTTTCTCTAGCATAAAAAGAGACAAAGGTGAAAGTAAGACATATAATTAAAGGGCCAAAAACATTTTCTTCCCTTCCAGGAAATCGGGGATTTGTGGGAGAGGCTGAAAAAAAAGACATGAAGAAGGTAGTTAGAAGCTGAAACAATGCAAAGCAATTTAAGGCACAGGTTCTACCTGTGGAACTGGGAATGACACTTACTGGAAAATATTGACAGGAAGAACCGAGAAAGGAGGAAATTACACAAATAACAGAGATTAACGAACAATTACGGAAGCCTGTAGAAAGACAGCTAAGGTAATGTGGGAAAAGTTAATATAGTAATAAGGCGTGAAATAAATATATCTTAAGATCTCTGATACATGCAATAAAGCTTTGCTTATGTATGTACAAAAAAAAAGCTAGGGAAGGGGTTTTGGGAGGGAAAGGTGTATGGTGTTGAAGGATGAGGTTGAACAAAGTCAAACCTGGGTCATACGAAAACCTGGAATGGCTACATTTCCCTCCCCCCTTCTTCTGTAACTATGGGAAGCTGTTAAAAAAGGGGTAAAGATTTTGGGGTTATCCCTCCTACCAACCCCACTGTTGAAGCTGAGATTGGAGATTTAAAGGCAAAAAAAAAAAATCTGGCTCCCGTCTCTCCCATCTTCTGTTGCTGCCGCCATCATGCACACCAGCACGTGCAGCCCATCTAGCTGGCTCGGGTCAGGTGCTGGGCAGGACCGGTTCTCAGGGCCAGTGCACCCAGCTGCGCGTGGAGTTCCTGTACTATACGAGCCAGTCCATCACCCGCAGCATGAAGGGCCCCGTGTGGGAGGGGCACGTGCTCACCCTGCTGGAGTTGGAGCATGAGGCCCGGAGGCTGCGGTGAGACTCCACTGGTGGAGGCCCGTAGGCTGCTGGTTGTGGAAGGACTGCTAAGGGATGTGTAAAATAAAAAGTTCTGTCTTAAAAAAAACTCTGAAATATTAAAAAATAGATGAATTCACTGACTACGAGGAGGTAGAGATGAACAAAAATCCAGGACAAAAATTCTATAAATAGGGGAAAAGGAGGATTTACCTGACTTGAGTATTTCAGTCAAATAACATTCTTTTCACCCCCAAATTATTGGTGAATGTAGTGGGGAGATGTACCCAGGCCATTTGAACAAAATCTCTTTCAGAGACAGGTAATAAATGGCTGCCACAGCTTCTTCTCTTTCTCAAAGTTCATTGCACTGAATTTAATAATTGTTTCTCATTATTACATGGCTATCTTTTCCAAAAAAATCTACCTGATTGGGATGGATTTGGACTGGGAATAACTGTTCTAGACTATTAGCCAGTACCTTTGCTGAGATCTCACAATCCACATTTATTAAGAAGATTGCATGATAATTCAGGTTGGGTTCCGGTCCTCTTCCCAGTTTAAGGATTACAACAATTAGTGCTCATCTTAGATACAAAAGTAGGATGTTCATCTCTAGCTCAGCCTCTTTTCTTTCTAGGAGGTACAAGAGAAGACTGTTGAAAACCAAAGACATAATAACAAAACCACCACAACAATAACAACAACAAACAAAACAAAAACGAAAACAAAATCCAAAACCCTTCCTGTGTTTCAGAGGGTAAGTGTATGTGAGAACTTTATTTACACTTATTATTATCCCTACATAAGTTACTCTGGATTTCCTATTATCTCTATTAGCTACCTGTAGAGGATGCATTATGCACTCTCTTAATTAATTTGGGTAGATTCTTGTTCTATGAATCAATGATTATTAAAATGGACATTGGGGTAGATTTTTCCAGTACCTAACTCTGTCTCTGTTGCTTATTAAGGTAGGTCTTGTCCTGTAACAATGTACTTTGTTCATCTTTTTTCCAAATGAGTCAATTTGAATTTCATCAAAGGAAAGTAGATTTAGATCTGAAACTGAACTTGAATATCATCACCCTCATCACCTCATTCTATAGATGAAAAATATATATAGATTGAGAGACATTACATGACTTGCTTCAGTTCATGGGGAAGAATTCAACTCATAACTTTTAACATATCTATCCAAGTCCATAACTCTTTTCACAATACTGACAACATCTATTCATATGGTGAGGACAGCATGATGATAGGATTTAAAAGTGTTTTTTATCTTCTTAAGTGATTTTTAAAATTTGATTTAAAATTTATCAAGTGTTTACCATGTTCAGGACTCTGTGCTTAGGTGCTTAGGAGTATAGTAAGTCCAATGGACTCTGTCCTTAGGGAACATACCATTTTGTAAGGGGTATAGGCTATTATTACAAGTAATACAATGCAATTGGAATGACAGCTGTATTTCAGAGACATAAACAAAGTGCTATAAGAGTTCATAAGAGGAGATCATTCCAGCTGAAGACATAGGAGAAAAAATATAGGTAGCATGGAATATGATTTGGACACTGGAGGTTTTCATAGAACATGAAGTTTTCACAAGGGGGGGATGGTTGGTAAGGAAGGAAATAGAGAACTTTTTAGCTCAAAGATAAAGGCAGGCAACATTTGGTAGTCCACTTTGGTTGAATAATAGACCATATGAAGGGAATTAGTGTATAATAAGTTTGGAGATATAGGTTGGAACAAGATTGTGATAGGCCTTGAATGCCATGGTAAGTGGTTTGACTTCATCTGACAGACAATCTAACAATAGTACATGTAATAAATTGGAGGGAGATAAGACTAGAGTCAGAACAGTTGGATGGACTGTTCCACATCTCAGAATATATTTTTTTCTTCACCATACTTCTTGACCACCTTGACTCCTCCTCTTATGACCATGAACCTCATCCCATCTCATCTTTTTGGGAACCTGTCCTGTTTATCTTCTCTTTTTCTCTTCTCTTTAAGATAGCTCAATCTTTTGGCTCTCCATGCTGCTTACAAAAATGCTTTGGATTTCTCTATTCTTAAAACAAACAAAAATTTCTTTAACCTGACCATCTTCTTAAATTATCATCTTATATCTCTTCTCCTCTACATTAGGAAACTCTTAGAAAGAGTAGTGTACAATTTGGGTGCTTCTCCTTCCTCACCACTTATTCAGGCTTTAATGCCTTGCAGTTGTGTGTTCCAATTCCATCACTTGACTGCAATTGCTCTCTTTGTGGTCACCAATGATTTCTTATTTGCTAAATTTTTTTGTTCAGTCATATCTAACTCTTTGTGACCCCATGGACCGCACTGTCTATTGGAGTTTTCTTGGTAAGCATATCCAAGTGGTTTGCCATTTCCTCCTCCAGTGGATTAAAACAAACAGAGATTGTGAATTGTCTAGGGCTACATAGCTGGTAAATGTCTGAGGTCACATTTGAATTCAGCTCTTCTGGACTCTAGGATCAGCACTCTATCCACTGAGTCATTTAGCTCTTCCAAATTGTTAAATATCATGGCTTTTTCTCGTGTTTTATTCTTTTTTTCTTTTTAGGCAATTGGGATTAAGCGACTTGCCCAGGGTCACACAGTTAGTATGGGTCAAATGTTTGTTCTGAGGCCAGATTGGAACTCAGGTCCTCCTGACTTCAGGGCCAGTGCTCTATGGACTGCACCACCTAGCTGCCCTTCTCATGCATTATTCTTTCACCATTCTGCAACATTTAACACTGCAAACCACCTTCTTTTCCTAGATAATCTCTCCCCTGGCACAACTTCCACAAATATCTAATCTATGTTGATTATTTTTCTGAGATAGGCAAAAAGTGACTTACCTATTATAGCCCAGCTAGTAATTGATAGAGGTCAGATTTGAATTTAGTGGATTGTAATCCAACTGAAATGCTCTTTCTAGGGTTTGACTATATCCCTGAAAGAATAAGCAGGGCATTCTGACACTTTCTATATCCTCCCAATGAGCAATATTCATTTATTTGGCAAATTCCCATGACTTTTAGTCCATGAATCCAAAGTACTGAATTGATCAAATCCATAGCTCACCACTAGAGAAAGACATCACATTTCAAACTCCAAGGCATGTAGTGATTAAATTTCAAAATTTCAATGCCAAATACCAATTATTGCAAGCATCCATGAAAAAGGAATTTAATATAAAAAGCCAATTTGAATATCTCAGATTTATTCTGTAACCATGAAAATTGGGTAAAAAATGGAATATGATAATCCAGAAAGCTAAAGAGCTCAAGCTGTAACTGTCATATTAGCATATCTTATAAAGCTAAGCTTAATCAACATAAAAAAGTACTGCACTAAAATAAAGGCATTTAAAGCATTCCAGGAAAAAAATTGAGATGCATAAACAATTTGACTTGCATACAATCACAAAAAAAAAGCATGGAATGAAATGAGTTCTCCCATGTTTAAAGGCTATTTTTTAAATAAATAATTGAGCAGAGCAACAAACAAAACAAAGAAGGATTATCAAGGGATAAAATGGACCTAAAGGGATAAAAGATTAAAGGAAATTTCAAGAATCATGATGAGGGAAGGAAAAAGGGATGAATTAATATTCTGTTGGCTAAATCTTAAACTCTCCTGTAGCTGAATTAATTTCTTTTATAGGAGAAATACTAGTGGGAAATTATTTGAAAAAGAAGGTTTTCCTATGTGCCAAGCATCATGGGGCTATAGATTCTAAAACCAAATAACCTCTTGTCTTCAAGGAGCTGACTCTAATGGGGGAGACAAACATAGGAGAGTAGTATTCTGGGAGGGGTTGTTTGGCCTGGAAAATTATGAGGATGATGAATACTAACACACTGCTGTGAACAATGATAGAGTTAGCTTAGACCTTAGTTTCACCATTGGACAGGTGGAGTACAAGTGAGAAGGAAGAAGGGATGAGGGTAAATGTCCAGCCACAAGGCCATTCACAGTACAGAGTAAAATGGTGGGCAAGGACAGGGAAAAGATGTTCAACCTATTGTTGAATAATAGATCCTGTCTGAAAACTTCTTTGGAAGAAAATTTGGTATGAATGGAGATAATGTAAAGAAGTTCATGCAATTAAAAATAACTTTTTTTTCTTTCAGTGCAACACTAGTACAACTTTAAAGAGAATTGGCAATAGGACACGTAGGAAGGAAGCTAGCTTATGTTACTCTAGGACTTTTTAGCTCTAGTAACTAGTGAGACGCCGATTGGCAAAGTGATGGGATTTCTTTGGAGTAATATAGTACATTTTATCTGGAATGATCACTTATGATTTAATTATAATTTTTAATGCTAGAATTCTACTTCTCGTATCCTTAAATATGTTAGAATTATCAGTAGTATGTATGTAATCCTACTATAATGTGAAAGTCATATTTAATTAAATTAATGTAACTGAGATAGTTCAGTTGGCTTAACTTGTTCATTTTCTCTAACTAAATATCAGCTTACACTAAAAATTTTATTAATCACAGTAATGAGAATTTTTATATTAAAGATATATATTACATTTAGTTTAAATGTTAATAGTCTACATTAATTTAATAAATTGAGCTAAGGGAGTATATATGGAATAAGTCTTTCATGCAGATTTTATTGGTTGCTACATAGTTAATAGACACTAATGTGATCAGAGCCTGGATGTGATCATAAGATCAGTAGTTAAAATGATTGAAATATAAATTAGGAGCTGGAATAATTGTTTGTTAGGAGCTCAGATAATAACTGTTTGGCAGTGCTTGGAGAGCTGAAGAAATAAAGCATTAAAATGTTCAGAGGTAGGCAAGCAGGAAAACACTTTGTGGCAGACAAAGACTGGAGATTTTATTCTACCAATCGCTACACTTCCTCCCTTTCTGTCGACCATTTTCTTTCCCCCAGTAGACCTTTCTTCTCTACTCTGACCTCAGACATTTTTCATTCCCTTTCCTCCGTATCCTTCTTTGCACTCATGGATTAGAAATCCTTATGGATGGTGACTGGTACTAATTTCCTCCCTTCGCACATTAGTATTATTTTTCCCCCTCTGTGGGATTCTATAGGAGAGAGTAACAGTGTCTGCCAGAGCTGTAGCACAATTCTATCCAACATGTAAAAATGCCACCCTGACTCAAAGAGCCATTTAACTTTCTTCTTTTAAAGAAGATGATCACTTGAAATGTCTTTCTCAACAAAAGAGCTATAATGAATTTTCATACTCATTTGTGTATTGTGTAATTCTGTAAGGAGAGGGTTGATGATTGCTAATAAAATAGAAGCAATCTTGAATCAACGCCTGCATAGGCTTTAAGGTTAATTAAAGGAGAGCTCGATCAAATTTAATAAGACTCAATAAAATTTTCTGCTCTCTATAGCTATGAGAAGCTGTATTATTGGTCACAGAGCCAGGATTTGAGGGCCAGGAGGTACACTGTGAAGACCTAGACGTCTTTGGTTTTTGACAATTAATTCCTCCTTCTCCCTTGAACTTTTGCCTTTTCTTCCAAATCCTTGTCTTAGATACTGAAAAACCATTCTTTTTAAATTCTGAATACTTGCCTCCTACTCTCCTCTCCAATTAATTCACCTGTCTCCCTCACCTTCTGTAATATTTTCTTCAGTTATTTATTGTAGTTGATTTGACCAGGAAGAGTCTTGCACAGTTTTCCACTGAGTTTTTTTCCCCTTCTTTTTGTACAGATGAGCAATGTGCCCTCTCAATCTTTA